GACTTTAGAAGAAGGTGCCAATGCCTGTGTTCTCTATATTGCTAGCCCTTGATGAATTTGCTCTGACAAAGTTAATTTTGGACAATCAGTCCTAGACATAGGCCAATAAAGTTGTTAGTTCATAGGTGAAGAAAAAAGAAACAGCACTCATAAAAACTAAAACATAACTTTGTACTTTTGCTTCATAAAAGTAAATTCCAAAAAAATAAGCTGAAATATGAAGCTCTCATAAGACAAAGATCTGATCTAAGAATTATAGGCCAAGTCACGTATTGGTGAAGAAAGTAGGAGTACATTCTTCAAACCTATGGTTTCAGGAAACCATCTGTTTTACCTTTCCTTTCAGTAGTTAGGACGGTGGAAGGTAACTTAGCAGTAGAGCACTTGCCTAGCATGTACAAAGTCCTGGACAATGCATGTAAATGTGTTAAAAAGTAAAATTCTTATTTTGAATTTAAAATAAAAGCTTAAACATAAAAGCAAGATACTATTAAGCATCAGGAAACACACACCACTTACAAAAGCTAGCACAAATTCAGATAATAGAATTCAATTATAAAAACAAAAATATGTTCACCAATAACATTGGTCACTATAAATTATTTTTATAATACCTATGTAGAAAGTCATCATGTATATCAATACTGAACAAGGCTATCCTATCATTTCTGTTTGATATATTAAGCATGTAACAGCAGAAGTATCAGTTGGATTTGAGTGGTAACCACTAGGGGGGATTCTCATGCATGATTTTTAATTTGAAGTTGCTTTCATGACAAGGTCTAATTTCCAGTTTTATGTCATGGCCATATTTTGCTTTTATAACCGGGAAATTAAAGAAAGGACATACGAGGAACAGAACAAAAACAGGGAAGTGGAGACACGGGCAAAGGGGGGCAGGCTGAAGCAGGAAGCAGCCTCTGTACATTGAGGTCAGTTAGGGAAACTGGGATAACGATCAGGCCTGTCCATCTTGGTTCCACGCTTGGTCCAGAGCACTCTGCCTAACACTGGGCTCCCAGAGTGTAGTGAGTGAGGGAGTCAATCTATTCTTTTGAGAAATGTGGATTTGAAAAGAAGAGAAGTTGGGTTTTGTAACTAATGAATATTCCAAATGTAAAGGTGTTTGTTTTGTGGTTTGCTTTGCCCTTGTTGTCCTTTGTTTTAAAACCCCAAATTCCTGATGTTATCAGAGTGGTAAAGCAAGGTCCTAGTCTAGTACATCAGCTCTGAACTCAGACTTTCAGTGTGGATGAGGGCTTACAGCGTCTGCACTGTTGCTGGAATTGGCAGGTCAGTTCACCTGGTTTTAGAGTTAAGCCTGGACTTAGTTCTTTCAGTTCATTACACGTACTGTTCATCCTTTATCTTTTCCAGTTGTGAATTCACTGAGGCAGAGTTCAATTTTAAAGCCCTTAGAGGACAAAACTCGGTCTCCATCCTTTCCACATGCCTTATTTCTGTACACAGAATTCAACTCCAATTTACTACTCAACTTTATCAAGACTTCTCAAAGCATTCAACTTTATTTTCAAAGAAATAATCTTCTCTGGTTTGTTTCTCCACTCACGAGTAGTTTGTAGTAGGGCTATTTAAATTTAAAATGCCAACCATCGAAATGGAGTAAATGACTTAGAGAACAACCCCAGATGACGTCTAGGAAGTTTACCATTTAAAGGGTCATGGTATAGGAGTTCTTAGGCTCTACAAAGAAACAAAATGTTGACTGAGTGGAGGCAAATGTATATTCTCCTGTAAGGTTCACATTTCACTAAAGAGAATAACAAGTAGACCAGAGTACTATATCTAAAAAACATAAACCAGAATTTTGGGTGCTTTCTTTAGCCAACAGTTAGGGAGACACAATTCTAGTAAAAGTTCTTAAAGATATTGATTGGGAATTAGTTTCCTTGTTGGTTCCACCCTCCTACCCTCCTGCAAATTTCATTCAGTTCTCCTTTGAAAAATTCCTGGTAAGTTAAACTATGCAATAAAAATCAAGTTGTATAATTGTATACAGTAACTGAAGTTAAGATTAGTTTCTTAAAATTGGTCCATTAGTGTCAGGAAGATGGGCCACAGACCCATGATTCCTGTGTAAATCTTAGGGACTGGAGACTGACACACGCACCCAAAGTAGGTCTTCTAGCCAAGACGACAAGGTCAGTTCCTAGAATCATTTCGGAAGCCAGCAGAGGCAGAAATGAAGCCATCAGCTGTGGGACGGGGAGAAAGAGGACAGAGCCAGCAAAGCTGAATGGTTGCTTTGCCAAAGTGAGAAATCTAGAGCAGGCAGCAGATTGCAGAGATGAAAGGCGATGGGGGGGAGACATATGGAGGCAGGGAGCAAGGGCCAGTTTCCAGTTTCAGGAGCTTTTAGCACCGCCCCTGGGTCTGGCCTTCTGTGCTTTGTGCGTCCTTGCTTGGAATCCTCGTGCCGGGTCTGGAGGTGGACTTTTGTCCATTGCTGTCTGGAGATATGTCTTCCTTCCCCGTTTCTGAGGGCGGGTATCTGCTGTTATCCTGTCCGAGGTCGTCTTGCCCTCTTTTGTGCTGTCCTCGGCTGTCCCCGAGACATGCTATTTCTTAGTTGGGGTTTGCCTTCTGGTTTGTTTTTAATTCTGCACAATCACAATGCTTTCTTGGATAGATCATTTCAGTTTTCACGCACCTGACTAACTCTCAACCCCAGGCTGGAAGTGGGGAACCACAGCAATGACCGACTTCAAGAGGGTGGTCACCCTTAGCAGTGTCAGCACCTTTGACTGCCAGTGTCTTCTGTCCCAAGGAAACCGCTAAGTTCCATCATGTCAGCTGGCTCCGGCAAGTGCTGCCACTCTCTCACGTTTCAGTCCTCGCTCCTGTGGGTTGTCCCCGTCCATCTGCCCCTTTCCTCCACCATTTTGCCTGCCTCCTCTGCTTACTTCTGTTCAGGAGCGCCATAACTACCTCTTTGCGAACACGCGGGAGCTTGTTCCCCGCCACTTTCTGGTGTCATTGAATTCACTTGAACAAAAAATACAAACGTGTGTAAATCCAGGTTTACTTTGCAGTTACATGTCTGTGCAGAATGACTCAAGAAAACACACATTTAATGTGCCATGTAAATTCGAGTACATATTTATTAAGTACATTAATGGGTGGGAGGACAAAAGGTACCCTATTTGTTATGTTTCACACTAGGAAGTTTTAAGTTAAATATTTTTTGAACAAAAATTGAAAACCTTAGGACAATAGAATAGGATGTAGGCTGGGAGACAGTTTAGTTGATAAAGTGATTGCCATGGAAACCTGAGGACCAGTGTTCCAGTCCCCAGCACAAGCATAAATGTCACATGGGCATGGCTGCTGCCTGTAATCCCAGTGTTTGGGAGATAGAAACAGGACTCCTGTCCAGCAAGCATATCATATAAACCAGCTCTGGCCTCAATTGAGAGACTCTACCTTAATGAGTACTGGAGAGTGATTCAGTAAGATTCTGGACTGATGTCAACTTTAGGTCTCAGTACACATTCTCACACATGTGTTCACTCATGTACATCCACACATATGTGAACACACACGTGTGTGAATACACACACATACCATACATAAGAAAAAAGAAACTTTTGTTAACGGTATATATTTGACTCTGGGTCTATGTTTTTTTTTCTAGGTTAAAATTTTTAACAGAAAAGCAAATGGAAAATAATCATAGGAAAATCCAAAGAGATTAAATAAAAATTTTAAAATTATAAATGGCTGGAATTTATAAATGCAATTTGAAAATAAACACACAGAAAAGATGATATATATCATGAGTAGAACTTACAGGCATTAATTCTCATACAGAGATACAAAATGCTTTTACACTTAGAAAAGTTATGAAATATTAATTTAAGAAATATAATTTATACATTTTAATCTCTTTTAAAACAGCAGAGTAAATCAATAAAATTGATGTTATATGTAATGAAATCTAATAATTGCATAAATCAGAAAGCAAACAATCTTATAGACTAATAAATTTAACTTTAAGATATGAACAATTTTAAAATGTGAGCAGCAATAAACTGGAAACACTTTTCCTTCAAGTCCATTTTCTTTAAGGCTATTTTCATTTATTCTTACTCTTTGAAACTTTCATAGATGTATCTTAATATTTCCACCGTCACTCCTTCCCACCAACCCCTCCTAAGTCCCTCTGCCCAGCAAAGCTGCCATCCAGCTTCAAGCCCTCTGTTTCGTTTCTATAATCCACAGAATCCTAACAGTGTTGTCCATACACACATGGCTGTGGCGTTATCCACTGAGGACGGACAATCGGTCAGTGGGAACCCCACAAAGAAAAGCAACTCCTCACTCTCATCTCAGCCATCAATTGCCAACAGCTGTACACTAGGGACTACGCCTAGGGAGTTGCTCCCTGCTCCATGCAGCAATTCTTTCTTTCTTGTCTCTCTGCCTATCTGTCTGTCTGACTTTCTCCCTTCCTTCCTTTCTCTCTTCTCTCCCCCCCCCCCTCTTTTTTGATTTAACTTAGAAACAAATTTGTTTCACATGTCAATCTCAGTTCCCTCTCCCTCCCCTCCTCCCCTGACCCCACTAGCCCCCCCCATCCCCTTTCTGCTTCCCAGGGAGGGTGAGGTCTTCCATGGGGGATCTTCAAAGTCTGCCTTATCATTTGGAGCTGGGCCTAGGCCCTCTCCCTGTGTATCTAGGCTGAGAGAGTATCCCTCTATGTGGAATGGACTCCCAAAATCCATTCATATGCTAGAGATAAAAACTGATCTACTACGAGGCCCCATAGATTGCCCAGACCTCCAAACTGGCATCCATGTTCAGTGGGTCTGGGTCAGTCCTATGATGGTTTCCCAGCTATCAGTCTGGGGTCCATGAGCTCCCCTTGTTCAGGTCAGTTGTTTCTGTGGGACTCTCCAGCCTGGTCTTGACACCTTTGCTCATCACTCCTCCCTCTCTGCAACTGGATTCCAGGAGTTCAGCTTACTGTTTAGCTGTGGGTCTCTGCTTCGGCTTCCATCAGCTATCAGATGAAGGCTCTAGGATGGAATATAAGGTAATTATCGATCTCATTATTAGAGAAGGGCATTTAAGATAGCCAATCCACTATTGCTTAGATTCTTAGTTGGGGTCATCCTTGTAGATCTCTGGACATTTCCCTAGTGTCAGATTTCTCTTTAAACCTATAATGGCTCCCTCTACTATGCTATCTCTTTTCTTGCTCTTCTCTATTCTTCCCCTGACTCAATCTTCCTGCTCCCTCATGTCTTCTCCCCCCCTCTTCTTCCCTTCTCTTTCTTCTAACTCCTTCCCTCCTCCCCCACGCTGCCAATTAGCTCAGGAGATCTTGTCCCTTTCCCCTTCTCTGAGGGACCATGTCTGTCTCTCTTAGGGTCCTCCTTGTTTCTTAGCTTGCTAGTGGTGTGGACACTGCCAGCCTACGATCCATTCAGCAACTTTTAACTGGATAAATTTTGTGCAAGACTTGTGCAGGTGACCATACTTACTGTGAGTGCATGTGAAAATTATGCAAAAAAGATAAAGTATTGTCCTTTAATTCAATAACTTAACCTTTGAAGATTATTTTGATTTCGAAAGAGAGCAAAAATTTGAAGTGCATGCCTTTATGTATATGGTGATTTAATTTTTCTCAAAACAAAACTTAGTGAAAGTCCAACTTTACAAAAGAAGTTTTTAAAAGAAAATTGTGCTTGTCTACAGCATAATAAATCACACATCCAATAGAAATATTACTTTTTAAATGTTAAGTTTTTATTTTTAGAAGTTACAAATAACAACACCAACAACAATAATAATAGTAAAAATAAAATAATCAGACCTGACTCTTTTAATGGCTTTTGGGACCCTACTCTTCATACTTGGTCACTTTGACCATGGGGTAGTACTTAGTCTTACAGCAGCTTCATATGTCATGCTCTGGTGATACTCATGGGAGATTTGCCATTCCCTAAACAGAATTAGAAGGGGAGCAGATTGATGGGTGGGAACAGAGGAGGGTGGTTGGGGCCAGGGCTTACAGGAGAGGAGGGAGGGGACACTGTATTCAGGATAAAAAATAAATAAATTCACTAAAAAAAGACCAGATCCAAAGGCTATACTAATCAGAGAAGAAGTCATGGGACTTCATGTTGGATTTTATTCATTCACTGTTGAATATATTTTGTGCACTTATCAACCACCAAAAGCAAAATTTCCATGGTAGTTTTAGAACTAGAAAGCCAATTACCTTTCTATCCTCTTTCATAACTCGAGTCCATTGCCTGCATTTAGTTCTTCCTCATCCCCTAACCCATTTTCTCTTTTCTGCCTGTCATACTGTACCCACGTTGCTTTTAAGCTGTTTTAATAGCAGGAGAAAATAGTCATAAAATCTTCCTAGAAAAGTTAATTCTATGAAGAGAAAGTTTTCAATTCAGAAAAAAAATGAGGAAATAGTCATTACCTCTGAATGTGACAGGGCTCCCTCTGGTTGGGTTTTTCAAGTGGTCTTCGTGTGTTTCTCAAAGTTTCTTTGCTAAGCATATATTACCCTTACAATAAAAAAGATTATTTTTTACTCAAGAAAATTATATAAAAGCATAATTAGTCAAACGCTGGAAGCAAATCACTGTATGTTATTCATGGTCAGAGTTCACAGAGAGTTGAATCTATGCATGTGTGTGTGTGTTCCCTTTCAAATCAGGTTAATTAATTCTGGTAACTCACATTTATTAAATATATTACAGTCCCTTTTCCCACATATCACCGTTCTTTCCTTCTAATTACTCTATTTCTATTTCTAGACCTAGCCTGAAAAATTGCTTGCTTTCTCTGGCTACCTTCATATAGAACGATGCAGGAACACTGTTTGACAAAGTCTTCTGGCAGCCTCTTCTCTAGAATCTGCTTCCTTCCTGAGTTAGCTGTGCTGCCTGTGGCTTATCAACTTCCTATGTTGCATGTTCCAGGCTTCTGTCTCTTTATGCTTCCCCGTCATGGGAGCAGAGGGCCCTCTTTCAGAGAAATGCTGGCAAGTCAGGGCAGATTGTCCCTACTTCTCTTCTGTCTGGTGCTTAAAGAGCTCCCTTACTACCACTCCAGGCCTGTAATGATGTTTGTTTCTAGCCACTTTATAGCCGTGCTGCTGCAATTTTAGTGCTTTTTGAGCTGAATGGCAAGATAGCGTCCTCAGTTCTGGTGAGTAGAATTCCCCACCCACTCAACATCTCCCTGGATACTTACCTCTTGCCTTTCCTTCTGTCTTCCTCCTTCTGCTGTTTGCCTCTTATCTCTAGGGGATCTAGTTGCCATTTGTTACCACCAGTCTACCTGGAGACAACCTACTGTCTATAGGTACTCCCTTATCTCTGGGAATTGTTCCTTCACAGTAACATTTACATGGATCACAAAACATTAGCATTTTGTTACTGCTCAATTCTGCTTTTCCTCAAACCAGAGGATAGCAGAAGGATTTGAAGAAGAGAATATTTAGCGAGGCAAAATTTCTATATTAACACTGCATTGGTGTGTGAGTATGAAATCAATCACAATTTAGTGTTGCAAGATCATGAGGAAAAACTTATGTTACTATCTACATTTACTGTTACATGTTCAAATCCAGCATGCATTCATTTTTCTATGTTCTTTAATAAATTGTGTTAATATGGAGCAATGTCGACCCCTGAGAAGAGTGTCATATTTGTGTGAATATAAATGCCAATTTCTGAAATTGTGAATTTCAGAACTCTTGTAGATGTGGAGGCCAGCTTCAGCAGCATAATGATGCTACTTTGTTGGAAACTTTGTCTATGTTTTATTCCTTGTGCAAACCTGCAATTTTGTGCTCTATAGGCATGATCTTATGATATTTCTGATTAATGAAAAAGCATCAGCAAGTCCTACCACTTCACTGAGTTTAAACAAAAATAAGATTACAAATACATAGTAACCTGATGACTTACTAGGTCTGAAAATTTGACCCATATATCTTATATCCACTATATCACAATTATAAGTTTGCAGCTAAGCCAGACTTACACATATTATTATGGCAATTCAAACATGTAATCTTTCACTAGGGTTTTTTGTAGAACAAAAGCAACTGTGCTTTCTATCAGCTATCATCCAATTATATCTTTTAATAGCTGATACATATTTTACTGAATTCAGCTGAGATTGTTATCATTATTCTTAACCAAACAACATATTTTGAATTGCCAGAGTCTCTCTATGAAAAGGGTGCCATTATCCTCCACAGTACAGGAACAAGACAGGCTGACATTTGGGATGTGTCTTAGAGTCAGCTAGGCTGTGGACAAACAAGCCAAAACAAGTCAAATCCATGCAGCAAGAGGAAAACACAGCATAGGTGAAAAGTAGTGACCACTGGTATTCTATCTTAAGCAATTTAGACATTTAATACATGAAAAAGTCAAGATCATTGGCTATAAAAGAAAATAATTAGCAGGTGACAAATTCAACATATTATTTTATTATATTTTTTATTTAAATTAGAAACAAGCTTGTTTCACATGTCAATCCCAGTTCCCTCTCCCTCACCTCCTCTCCTGCCCCACACCAAACCCATTTTCCATCCCCTTTCTGCTCCCCAGGGATGGTGAGGCCTTCCATGGGGGATCTTCAAAGTCTGCCGTATCATTTGGAGCTGGGCCTAGGCCCTCTCCCTGTGTATCTAGGCTGAGAAAGTATCCCTCTATATGGAATGGGCTCCCAAAGTCCATTTGTATACTAGGGATAAATACTGATCCACTATCAGAGGAGGTTTCCCAGGCCTCCTAACTGACACCCACTATCAGGGGGTCGGAAACAGTCCTACACTGTTTCCCAGCTATCAGTCTGAGGTCCACGCACCCACCCTTGTTCAGATCAGCTGTTTCTGTGGGTTTCTCCAGCCCGGTCTTGACCTCTTTGTTCATCACTCCTCCCTCTCTGCAACTGGATTCCAGGATTTCATCTCAGTGTTTAGCTGTGGGTCTCTGCTTCTGCTTCCATCAGCTACCAGATGAAGGCTCTAGGATAGCATATAAGGTAGTCATCAATCTAATTATTGGGGGAAGGGCCCTTAAGGTAGCCTCTCCACTATTGCTTACATTATTAGTTGGTGTCATCCTTATAGATCTCCGGATATTTCCCTAGTGCCAGATTTCTCTTTAAACCTATAATGGCTATCTCAGTTATGGTATCTGTTTTCTTGCTCTCCTCTATTCTTCCCCTGACTCAATCTTGCTGATCCCTCATGTCCTCCTCTAGTAAATTTTGTACTGGATAGATACATATGTACCTGCATATGTTTATGTGTTACACAATTTTTAACCTGTATTCCCCAAGAGGCAAGACTTACTTAGTACATTACTGTGTAACAAGTGTTCTTCCTGCCAATCTGGTCTCAGAGCTGCTTCAACCCCAAATAACATACAGAGACTCTTTTGGTTACAATGCTGTCAGCCAATGTTCAGGGTTTCTCTGAGTAGTTCTGTCTTAAGTATTAACTCGTAACTACTAATATGGATATTTCTATAAGGTCTTATCTTACCGAGGATGCCAACCTCATGCATCCTCTCTTCCCCAGATCACGTGGGGACTCTCCACTCTTGACTACATTTCCCAGAATCCTCCTTGACTCCTAGTCCCGCCTATCTTCCTTCCCTATTGGCCAACAGTGCTTTATTTATCAACCAATAAGACAAACATACACACAGAAGGATTTCCCCCATCATTACAGCATTCAGTTCTTTTTGCCTTTATAATATAGTCAGAGTATTATATTACCTTTTGTGCTCATTCAGGTTAGTTCTTTTCCGCAAACCCTTTACTCCTGGTTGCAGTATTTATCCATTTTAACAATCTTGTTTTGCTGTTCCCCACATTTTTCTGTTCTATAGTATGATCAGTTTTTTTCCAACCTTTGGTAGGTTTTGTTTCTGTTCTTTTAAAGCCATTATTCTGCTTCAGAGACTAGGATTTTTTTCTCTCCTGGCCACTGGGAGCCCATGGTAGAAAGAACATTGAGTCAAGAATGTTGTTAGCACTGCACTAGATTTCACATCTCTTGCTGGATAAATATTTGCTAGTGCATTAATCTGGAAGAATTAAACATGACTTTGACTGCCATAAATCATTGTGCTATGGTACATGAAACCCTGTTGAATTCTTTTTGGAACAAGATGGAAATATTTTATTTAGGACATGGTATCCAAGATAACATGGATACTTACAGATGTTGGGTAAGAACCTCTCTGTGAAATGTAGGATCCTGCCTATTCCCACTTACAGCATAGAAATAATCTTTCCAGTTGCTGCAACAGCATTAATTTCCCATCACCATAGTTTTCAATAAGGCTGCATAAGCTAAATGAGATACAGGAAAATTTTCTACTAATGAGAGCTTTCTAGAGCTTCAACTCCTACTGAATATCCCTGAGAATGATGGTTTTAAAATAGCCTTTAGGGTTGATATTACCCATGTTACCACAGGTAACTTTTCATAGTAAAACTTCAAATATGGGAAGTTTGATTTCCATGGTCCCAAATCATAGAAATAATAGAAAGAGGGTTTTGAGTTGTGTGCTCTCTGTTTGATAAAATCAAACTACAGTGGTTGGCAATGTAGCCTAACCCACTGTCACTGTGAAACATGGTGCCATATGAACCATTCTTGCATGTTATTTATATAGTGAGCCTAGCCTTTAGATGGATGTTGCTATTCAAACAGCAGAAGTATTTTGATATGAGAGTAGTTGAAACACTAGGGACCATTATAGGTCCAAAGTCCAAGATGCTTGATCTGTCAGTGGGTGTGAAGAGAGATGCGTTTTTAAAGTGATATTTTTTTCTATGGCATGCAGTTCCTTCAAACGGCCTTCCCCTTACTCCACTGCATCCGGACTGCAGACAGCTTCCTCTGCCTGGTGCTGGCAATTGCTTTTTTGAAAGCTCTCTCCATCAATGTTTTCTTTCTTTTAACTATGTGCCTTGCCTTTAGACGTCTCTACACACCATTGCTCTCTATATTTTATGAGTTTTGTTTCAGAGTACTCACTTGTTTATCCAGAGGAAAAAACTAAGATCCTTAGTGATCAGAAAAAGACTAGTTACAAAAGGGAGGGAGGGAGTTGCATATCAGCACTGATGCATGGTAAGGGTAGCTTCAGTAAATGGATGAAAAATGGATGTCATGAAAGCAAGTGTGAGTAAGAAATTCTGAGAGTTGGAAAACAAAGGCAGACAGGAAGAGAGAGAAGGAGAGACTGTTCTTGGCTTTGTAATATACAAAAAAGCTGGAATAACAAAAATACGCGTTGTCCTATGTGGCCTTTTTTTTCATTTCTAAAGTCACATTTACATACCTGTTTATATATCAATCATTTGGATTTTCCAATGTGCTGAATTTTGAAATATTGCAAAGAATGTCAGCTTGAAAAAAACTGAGTGAATTTGTGGGATTTTTTTCTTTAAAAGAAAAGCATCTCAATGTTCATTTGCCTGAGGATTTTGAATTTTTCTCAGTTCACTCTCAGATTAATTTTGGCACACTAATTTAATTGTCTTAGACTCATTATTGATGTTGATCTACAATTGAATAACCTTAGAATCACAAGGACGTGTAACTGAAAACTAATGAGCCAGGAGCTTCTGGGAGAGTAAAACAGAAGAGCTGAGTCTGAAGTCAGGTGGTCCCAGAACTCATGGGTGAACCACAGATACAAGGTCCTGGGTAGAGATGCAGGGAAACACATGATCACTCCAAAACACATGCAATCAAAATGAGGCAATGTCATATATGTCCACAGTGATAAGACACACCTGTTCCAGTACCAGGGATCTGCATTCAGCACCACAGTGAAGCCTTTAAAGTCCTGGGCACAAGTCATGCTGAGTACTGCAGGAACTTCTCTGGAAGCAATCTTGCTTAAACAGATCTGCAGAGTTCAGAACAAAATTCGCGTTCCACTAGAGAGCACTAATAACCAAACTCTTATTGCTGAGATTTTAGTAGAAACAATTTTACTATTTATAAATCTCTTTAATACATCCTAAGTATCTCAAAAGGCTTGCCTGAAGAGGCAAACATTCTGATACACGTAACGATGATCTACAGTCCAGAAGGTTGTCTATGTTTGCCATAATGACATCTGATCAACCACCACAGTAACAAGCTGCAGAAGTAGATTGCCAAATCATTAATAGGATCGCTCTTCGATTCATTTTAAATTTAGGTAAAGATCCAAAGGATTTTCAAATTGCAAACGATGTCAGCACTAGGTAAGGATGAGGAGAATTGGTAAGTGTGATACTGTGGAGTGGGACATCATTTCACCACTCCAGTGTGGCTCACTGTCAGTCAGAATTACATTGTGCTTTCGCCTTTATCAAAAGGCAATAATATGCTGGGCAGTGGTGGCACACGCCTTTAATCCAAGCACTCAGGAGGCAGAGGCAGGTGGATCCCTGTGAGTTCGAAGCCAGCCTGGTCTACAGAGAGAGCTCCAGGACAGCCTCCAAAACAATACAGAGAAACCCTGTCTCAAAAAACAAAAAAAAGGCAATAATGTGTTCCCTGAGGCTCACAGTCGATCCTAAAGACTCAGCTAGCTGTTAGTTGCTGACAAAATCAAAAAAGCAATACCAGACTGTTATGTCTCTATGATCATGGAACCATAAAACCACTGGGTGAGAACCATGCTGGTTTGCATTGAATACATAATATATCTACAACAAATGAAAACAAATCAGCAACTGAAAAGTTTGTTTTTCAACTAAAAGGAAAGAATTATGAGGACTTTGTCTTGCCATGGGAGGCATGTTCTTCTGAGAAGTGTTGTATATAAATCCATTTGACTGCCAGCTCCATGAGTCAAAACCAACAAATAGTGAGGAACTGAAACTCCCTGCAGATCAAATGTGTTGGATATCAAATGTCTGGGATTTGGTTGTACCATATACTGACTCACCATCTCCTTGGCTGTGTCTTCTTCCTCCTCCATATCTCACACATACATAATAGTTGGATTCACACTTCCTCCTCAAATCTGTTTTCTTTTTCATGTTTTCATTGAGATACATCAATCCATTGAATACTTGAGTGCATTCAGCTAGAAAATTGTGCAAATCATTTTCCTCTCAACCAATCATCCACGTCTAGTGATGATGCATCCCACACCTCCCTTTGGTTTTTAGGCTGCCTATCACATTTTATTTCATCTCTGATTTCTTTCATTTGGACTAGAAGTTATCAGTTATCACTATTACTAGTCTCTGTCTTTCTAGTTCACCTTTCTTATTGACACAAGTATTTTCTTCCACAAATGTCTAAATAATGTACCATTCTCTCACTAAATATATCTATTGCTTCTTGCTGTCCATAAAAGTACATCATAGTCTTTTAATATACGATGTTTTAATAGGTACTAGCATGGACATATGCAAGATATGTCTGCTTTGCAACGATGGATAAGCGTGAAGGCAATCTGCCATGCTGATTATAGAAAAGATAACACTCCAAGGACAAGACAATTTATACAAACCAGTAGATGAGTAGATACTTAATTAACTGAGACTAGGACACAGGCTTGAGAAACAAAAAGTCATGAATTCAAATTTCTGTTCTATCATGAACAAGATACAAGTATCTGGCTATGTAAGTGTGCCTTTTAAAGACCAAATTTTACCTGCAATGTAGAGAGGTGATGGTGTCCTTCATAAAATTGACCTTATGCTCCTAACACACAGGACCAACTGTAAAACAGGTATCACACATGTTAGTAATTGTCATTGAGATTTGGCTGTACAAGAGAATGGTTACCTGTGAGAATCTGTTTCAAGCAGGCCAAATCAATGTCTTTCTAGAGACAGGAAGAAAGCTGTGACCAGTCATAGAAGGCCATATGCATCCTTTATACCTGATGCGTACTGCACATCTCTTTAAGCCAGTAGATCTCAACCTGCAGATCACAACACGTATATTTCCTCCTTTATAGGGATGCTGAATTTGATCATGTGACTTATTTTGGTCAAGGCAATGCGACAGATGTGTCAATAAGTCAGCTCTATACTTTGTCATAGGACGATGATTCCTTCACCTTTCTCACTGGAAGCTTCTTCATCAGAAATTTTCACTGGGAAAGTAATATTCTTCAAACGTGAAGCTGAAGTAATCCCCAGAGCAATGTGACCCCATAATCCTGCTGATGGGTAGAAGACTAAAGGGGAAGAGTTCTAGCCAGCCTGCCATCATGTGAGAGACAATAATAATTATTATTTTGAACTGTTGTATTCAGGATTATTTTTTATATAGTATCTTTGTAGCCATGGCCAACTGGAATGGCACTAAAATAAACTCATTTGGACATTTCATGAAATAGGAAACTATTATTGATTGACAGGCAGATATATGAATTCACAGATGTGGAATTTTGATGAAATTCAAAGCCACACAAGTCTAGGAAGTCAATTAGACAATAAACACCCACCCAGAAGTCCAGAATCAAAAAAGCACTTTCCATTGGTATGAGTTTCAAAATAAAATGAGAAATATTCAGATATTAAGTATATATTCTAAGTAACTAGTCACTTAAAAACAAAATGTTTAGATGGCTGTAAAATCTGAAATCTTAAAGGAAAATTACATTATTTTCACAGATGCACATCATAGAAGAGGGATAACTCGAACACCTTTGAACCAAACCCTGTCCCAGAAGTCCATAAACTGCTACTCACAACAGTTCCTTTGCTGCCAGTTACTAACCCCAACAGGTACAATCTCCAAACCATATTGAAAGTGTCTAAATCTCTCACTACTCACACACACTTAAGAAGACTTCCCCAAACAGCTGAATACCCTTGCAGATGGAAAAATAAATTTCAGCCAGTGTGATCAGCATTTGCTCTTAACGGCCTTCACCTTTCCCTGACAATTGTGCATTTCTTAGGCATCTGTGTCTGAATCCAAGGATGCCCAGTGATGTTGCAATAAGTCATCATTTGTATATTTATTAAAATTCTCTTCAGATAATGTTTCTTTTGATAAACATAATCTGTTTTGCTGAGGTTGGTATTTTGCATGACAACTTGTGTATGCACTTCCACTTATGTTTATATTCAGAGATATATCTGAGTTTTCTGAGGAACCTTTGGTCTAAGGGACATTGGGTCTCTGAATGAGAGGGCATTGTTTCATTTGTGTGTGTGTGCACACACACAAGTGTGTGTGCTTATACATTCGTTTGTGTTTGTATGTGTGCACAAGAGTGTGCATGCTTCTTTTGTGTGTGGACACATTTGTTTCTGTTTCATTTTTCTGTAGCTTAAGGTTTTATTTAAGTCAGGGGTTTTTATCAATGTACACTTCCTTAATTTTGACGTAGAACTATTCTGGTGATGGCCAACACAATGTACATTTTATAAGGAGGTAAATACCTTTAGTGAAGGGTCATGAAGCCCATATATGATACAGTCCTTTCTTTTAAAACACAGAGTAGAGGTGGATTTATCTCAAAATTAACAACTGTTAAGGGGGAAAAGGGAGTATAAACACACACACACACACACACACACACACACACAACCTGAAAGGAAATCCAAGCATATGAAAAACTAATTATAGTGATTAATAGACCATTTTCTCTGTGTAAAATCCTCTGCCAAGAAAATGAACTTACAAAATCTTTACTTCTCACTCAATTCAGGAGGCATAGTTATTTTACAGAGCAAGAAGCTAAACACAATTTGAGTTTCCTGTATATTGGCAATGCAGTATTTTACATAGTCTGGATTCTAATCTATTCTTTATTATTTCAGTTTTTATACTTTAAAATCATTTTCAGTGAATGTGAACTAAACTTATAGAAGAGTAAATTGATATTATTACATTTATCTCAGATAAATAATAATATTAATAGCATACTTTCTTATATTTCACAAAATCAGAGAAAGAGAAGTGGCATAAAAATAGAAAGAGATTTAATTCTATATGCACCAGCCAAAAATTTCTTAAGTTATTGGCCTGTGTTGATAGTAGGGAAAAAAGCATAAGAAGAAATAAATGAACTTCTAAAGATTTTATCAAATAGTGAAGAACTCATTAGTGAAAACGGTAATGGGATCTTTAGAAGTAATTTTGTGCTTAAATCAGTCTATTATGGGATTGTTTATTTCAGAAATTTTGTTCAAAAATTTGGAGGATCTTAGAAGTTGGGAAAGTTTGCCACCCAAACATGAGGACCTGAGTTCAAGGTCAGAGTTCTTGTAGAAACAATGGGTGTGCTAAAGAATGCTTGTGATCCCAGTTCCCACTGGCTATTTAGCCTAGCCCAGTAAACAATCCTCAGGCCAATTAGAGGCCCTGTCTCAAAAACCAAGGTGGATGGTGTCTGAGGAACAACTCTTTAGGTTGTTCTCTGGCCTCCATGTGTTAAATAATGTGTGCACATGCACTGACACACAAACATGAACACACATGTACAAAACTGATAAAAAAATTTGAAATCACCAGAATGAAAAAATTAGTTCAAGCAAACCTTAGAAAATCACATAGTCATCAAAAATAAATTATTGGATCTGGGTCTGTTGCCTGACACAGGATCTGTTACTATAGTAAGATGCAGAGATAAAAAGACATAATAGGAACTATTCACAGCTTGGGGGCTTTTGGAAGCAGAGTATGAGATGGAGTTTAGGTTTTGTGTACTTACTAAGGAGCATCTTGGAATCTACCTTGGGAAATAAGAATGGAAAGAATGCAAAATTTTGTTATAAAGCAGGGCAGATGTGAATCTTAGTTGAAATGGTCACCATAGTGCTCTTCCATTGGGCAAAAGAATTTAGTAAGCCACTTTATGTGGGCAGGTGCCCAGGTAATTATGTGACCAGTGGGCAAGTAGCTCTTGGCAGGTAACAGCCACCGATGGTACCATGAGTGTATGACCACCATCCTCCCCGTATCCCCCTGTCTCCCCACTCCCAACTTCTACATTCTTTGGTGAGGAGATATCTGGATGGTGCTTCTGCCGTCACAATACCTAAAACCAATTGAGTCCAAAGCCAAAAGGTGTAAATATGATTATAAATAATTATAAATACATAAAGAGAAATTTAGAGTCTTAAGGTCATAAAGTAAATGATTAGGCTAAAAGCAGTACAGGGTAATCAAAAGAAGCAAAGGGTTAAAACTACCAAGCACAAAAGAACCCAAGTCTTGTTAAGGTAAACTTTAAAATGTGTTGATTCGGCTAAGCAGTGGTGGTACACACCTTTAATCCCAGCACTCAGGAGGAAGAGGCTGGTGATCTCTGTGAGTTCTAGACCAGCCTGGGTCTACAAGAGCTAGTTTCAGGACAGCCTCCAAAGCCACGGAGAAATCCTGCCTCGGAAAACCAAAAAAAAATGTTGATGCAATGCTGAGGCATGAAAGAATGATCTTGGATAGTATTTATCTCTGGGTTGTGATATTGCCTTCCCACTATTCTTGTCTCTTGTAGCAGAAAATTCAGATGTATGTGGCATGTGACTTAGAAAATTGCAAAACTTTAAAAATGAACAGTAATTCTCAGAATGATGACTGGGTATATTTTAAATGAGACCTACAGTTTCGAGAGTAGGTTTAGTAAGTTTTAAATAACACAGAAGATGTTGCAGAAGGAAGGTGGCTTTAGAGGCACCATAGTGTTGTGAAAGCAAATATAATTTCCCAAAATATAAGTTGAATAATTTAAACCTCATTTAAATATTTCTTTAATTTTTTTGATAGGCTGGGATATGCCCTGGGTTGGGGAGGGTGCATATCTAAAAAGAAACAATACAGAATTCCCACTTTCAAGGATCTCATGTTGTCCAAGTAAGAAAGAAAAATGAAGCAATAAAATGATAATAAATAAATATATGTTGAGTTAAATATTTTTGAAGGCTTCTCCCAAGAAGCAGAGTTTCAGACTGGGATTCTCATTGGGAATATTTTGAAGGGTTCTTCTAGGAAGAGCAGCAATGGAAGATCACATGGATATTCCTGGCTGTAGTTATCCCTGTCAACTTGAACTTCTACCAAACCTTTTAATGCATTTTTCACTCCTGTGTATAATTACACAAGCAAATGTCACAGTCTGAGTAGCATAGACTATGGAAATCTTTTCTTTTTTTCTTGTTTGTTTGTTTATTTTTTGAGACAGGGTTTCTCTGTGGCTTTGGAGGCTGTCCTGGAACTAGCTCTTGTAGACCAGGCTAGTCTTGAACTCACAGAGATTCGCCAGCCAACCTCTGTCTCCCCAGTGCTGGGATTAAAAGTGTGTGGCACCATTGCCCAACTTCTTTGGTTTATTTGCATGTTCTTTGTGTGTGTGTGTGTGTGTGTGTGTGTGTGTGTGTGTGTGTGTGTGTGTGAGTGAGAGAGAGACATAGAGAGAGAGAGAGAGACAGACTGCCCTCAGCCTCTTCCTTCGTTTTTGCTTCATGCTCTGTAACTAGTTTAGATGCACACATATCTTACTTTTGCATATGTTCCCTTCTCCTCTCTACCTCCATAGATCTCTGCAGGCCTTCTTCTGCCTGCCATTCAGATGCTACTACTTATTATAATAATTGTACCAACTGGAGTGTGACAGCTAAGCATTGCACCTTGTCTCCATTAATTAGGACCCCTATGAGTCCCACTGCTATCAAAGAATCTGGTTATTATCAGTGTGGCTAACAATGTCATTTTTCCTTTGGTACATGGAATTTTCCCTCAGAGATCATAGTGTTTTGGT